TTACAATCTGAGACCCAGAGGAGCCTGTCAGTGTGCAGCTATCCATTCATGGCTCCCCTCCTCTCCTGGTCTCCATCCCCGCAGGGCCCAGGGTGCCCTTAGCCCCAGGAGGCAAGCAAAGGCTGGGTGCCCAGCCTCCTCAGCCAGACCCAGGTGTCTCAGCTGGGGCTGGGCCCGGGGGCTGTGAGCGGGGTGTTCTCCAGCTTCAGCCACATGGGCCAGGTGGCCGCAGGGGCTTCTCTGTTCCTGAGACCACCCCCCCAACCTGCATCTCCCACTCTTCCTCCTCCTCCCTTTATCAAGACCTCCCTTGGGTACTGGATGAGCCTCCTGGGGCTCGGGGGAGGGCAGGTGACTTGCCCAAAGTCATTCTGATGCCATGAGTAAAGGCCCCTTAACTCTTGTGCCTGTGCCCCGCCCCTTTGCACCTGGGAACCCCACAGGCTTCCTGTGGGCGGGGCAGGGTCCTCTCCGCTTGCTTTCTTCCAGTCGGTTCCCTCCTTCCCCCGCCTCCTGGTTCTGGCTGCCTCGGGAGTGTGGGCCGTGCCTGCCACAGAGCGGCTTTCGACGGAACTGCAGCCTCACCCGGCTCTGGGGTGAAGGCAGCCTCAGCTCGGAACCTGCTCTGGGGGTGCGGGGCAAGTCGGAGGAGAAGAGGGGCAGAGTGCTGAGCAGGGTCTAGGGTGGGTAGGAGCAGAGCTCCTGGAGGGCGAGGCACCGTTCTGTGCTTCCAGTGCCAGCCCAGCCACAGACTCTCATCACTTCTTTGCCCAAGGTCAGAGCCCCACCAATTTGTTCTGCACCCAGGCCCAGTTCTGGCTGTCCCTGTGTCCCACCCCTGGCCTGCTGACCTCCAGCTACCCGCAGGGACCCCTGCCCTCCATAATTCCAGCCAGTGATGGGATGGGGTGTGCTGAGGTCTGGCTGAAGAGCTTGGGGTGGGTATTGTGCTGGCTCACGGAAGACCCAGCCAGCCAGGCAGGGTGGTGGGAGGCAGAGCCTGATGGGGCCCTGGTGAACGGGGGCCACCCGCTTTCCTTGCTCTTATGTCCCCTTGAAAACAGCAGCTGGAGCCTACTGCCCCCCCACCCTCCACCCCCCAAATCCTGCCCCAGCCATCAGGCAGGGCTCCAGTTCACATTTTTGGAATAACAGGGCT